AGGAATGGGCAGCTGGGAAGGGCATGGTCCTGACTTATGGTGGTGATCACGTAATCAAAGCCTGAAAGAATGGGAGGGGAGGTTTCCAGCAGTAATGGCCCTGTGGTTGAGGAGAAAGTATATGTGAAACTTACTCTGATAGATTTTGGCGTCAGTGTCGTCCTTTCGGGTTTTCTGTACCACTCTGAGGAGTACACGGTGCTGGCGGACATGGCATTTGCTGTTTCTTGCAGCCTTTCAAAATAATACTTTTAGGATGGACTTTTTTGTTCTTTGCAGCATGGTTGTTTACCTTTTGGACTGTAAGAAATGTTCTCTCCGGCCCTTAGGATATCTGAGCACAAAGTCAGTGTTCATAAGAGCAGAAAATATGGCTGAGTTGCTGGTCTCTTTCTGCATTTCTCAGCCCACAGAGCAGAAAGGGAACTAGTGTCCTTCCATGGATGGGTGACTCACTGGCATGTTGTTGCCTCCAGTTCTTTCCTCTGATTTGGCTGTTCTGGTGCCAGGAAATCAGAAACCCACACACCCTGGCTTATGCCAAGCAGACTTGATTAGAGTGCCAAAGAATGCCGTTCTGGAGACCAGGCACCACCGGTTCACGTGTCTCCAGGGGAAAGCCATGCCCCTCTGATTACCCTTTCCAGGTCCTTGCTTGTTTTTTTGCACAGCGTGACCTTTATAGACAAACTGGCGTCTGATACTGCCGGTAATCCCTTGTGGCTGCTTAAGACACAGCATACACGTGAATCTTGAAAGGGACAGGAGTTCTGGGGAGCTCGGTACGCCCTAACAGTTGGCTGTGCTTTGGCCTGCTGTGCAGAGACCAGGGGCAGCTGAACATCTCCGCTTTGCCGTAGTGCATGCACTGACTGCATAAAAAGCTGCAAGCACCTCTTGCTTGTGCTGATGAAATTTTAAACTTCTAGGTCAGCTTGTGGAAGGAGAACGCACGGACTTGGCACCAGCAGCAGTGTCCTTCAGCAGCAGGATGCTTGAGTTGCAGACCTATCAGTGCGCCGGCTCCTACTTTCTTGAACTCCCATCTGAGTCATGGGATCTGCTTTATGGCCTTAGTTGTTTATCTGGGCTGTGAATCTGATTAGGGGAAGATGTTTACTTACGGTGAGCCAGATGGGTGTGCCCGTAGTGATTAATGGTGCCAGCAGCCGTTTTCCTGAGGTCCCCACACGGAGATCCTCTAGGCTGCGATCCAGCAAATCACAGGCCCAGTTAAAGACGGTGCCAGTGTCCCTACCTATGACTCATGTAAAAGTAAAACTTTGATCTTGGCAGAAATAACAGGATGCACAAAGCAGTTGGATGTATCCTGTGAGGACACACCTTGTTGTTAGCTGTCCATCTGCATTTACTGCTGTATAGACAGTGGAAAGCTGTGCCTGGGACTTTGAAAACACAAAATCTTTTTATACAGGAGCCTGTGGCTGTATATGCAAGTTCCAGGGTTATTTCAAATTATAATCCCAGCTGCTCCTTCCTCTAGGGAAA